GATCTCTTTTGGTCATGTTTATTCGGGGTCCTATGTGCTTCCTGTACTTGGATGTCTCTGTCCTTCTCCAAACCCGGGAAGATTTCTCCTGAATGTTGGGTTTTTTAATAGTATCCTGTAGATTCTCAACAATATTTTTTAGATTTCTAATTTCCTCTTCTTTTCTTTGGATTGACTGTATACTTTCCTGTGCTCTGTCTTCTAAGTCTGATATTCTCTCTTCTATCTCATTGATTCTGTTTTTCTGGCTCTCAAATGCATTTGTCATTTGTTCCATTGAATTCTTCTTTTCATTTTGGTTTCTCTTCAACATCACAATTTCATATTCTACTAGATTCCTCATTTCATTTGGTTCCTCCTTAAGATTCCATTTTCACGAGAGAGATTTTCTATCCTGTCCAGTATAGATTTCTATAGTTCATGAATTTGTTTTTGAGAACTTTTAAATGTTCTTATCATAAATTTTTTGAAATCCGTATCTTGCATTTCTTCTATTTCATCATCTTCATAATCTTGTATTGGGATGTCATGTTCATTTGAGGACATCATAATGTCTTCCTTGTTCTTGTTTCCTTGGTTCTGCGTTTGTTGCTTGGCATTGTAGAGATATTCTTTGGTTTCTTCTATTTTTTTTCCCTCACTGTGGTGGCTTTTCTTGTTATACTGTGACTCTAAATTAAGTGGACTGTCTGCTTTTGATGAATCTCTAAGGGCTTGTGGTGGGTGTGGCCAGAGATCTCTGTTCAGTTCTTCAGGGTTAAGGGTGTGCCAAAGGTGACACACCCAGGTTTGGCATGGTAAATATTTCTCTCTCTCTCTCTCTCTCTCTCTCTTATTTTAATTTATTCAAAAGGGAAGTAATTCCACTTAGCTGAGCTCTTCTCCTTGATGGCAGTCAGTGCCTGAGTGCTAGCCCCTGTGGGTATAATATTCGTCTGTTCTGTCTCAAGGACCACGCAAAGGCTCTGTGCAGTCCTCAGTGTAAGACAGATTCCCCTGCAATGTCTCCCACTGGGTAGCCAAGGTTACTGAGTTTGTGGTGTCTCCCACTGAGAGTACTCACTCATGTCTCAGGCTCACCGTGAGTTCTCCCACACACCCTTATTTTTTCTTTTCACAGTCCCAGTTCATAACCTCCACACATTCACTAGGTCTTAACCTCCTTTTATTTCTCCCCACTAGAGTCAGGTTTTCCTGCTTGGCTGAGGGTGAGCCCAGCCCTGAGCTGGTGTATCTGTTACGTATGTCCAAAATGGCGCCTGCTCTTTGTCTTGCTCACCTTTGTAATGTGTATTTAGAGAGAGAATTTTGTCCGTACCAGTCCCTTTTATTTATTTATTTTCTCTCCTCTAGTTGGGCTGGTGAACTTTCCCCCACGGGGCTTCAAGCCTCATTCCCTCTAGGCTCTTCCGGCCACTTTTCTGCCAGTGTCTTGAGCTACTGCAGTTTCTCCTCGCCTCACTTTCCAGTGCTGGTGCGTAGACTCGGCAGCTGGGGTCCTGAACCGTGGGCACCCGTGCCCTCCACGTAGGTCCACCGTGTCCCCTAGTTCCAGAAGAGTTTCCTCTGCATTCTTTTCACTAACTCTTCCCTGAAATTACAGTATCTCCATTTTTTTTTGTACAGGCAGAGTGGACAGTGAGAGAGAGAGACAGAGAGAAAGGTCTTCCTTTGCCGTTGGTTCACCCTCCAATGGCCCCTGCCGCTGGTGCGCTGCAGCCGGCGCACTGTGCCTATCTGAAGGAAGGAGCCAGGTGCTTCTCCTGGTCTCCCATGGAGTGCAGGGCCCAAGCACTTGGGCCATCCTCCACTGCACTCCCTGGCCACAGCAGAGAGCTGTCCTGGAAGAAGGGCAACCGGGACAGAATCCAGCGCCCCGACCGGGACTAGAACCTGTTGTGCCGGCGCCGCAAGGCGGAGGATTAGCCTACTGAGCCGCGGCACTGGCCAGTATCTCCACTTTTAATATAATATCTTTTCCTGGACTATCAGTGCACTCCCTCCCTATTCCGCTATCTTGGAGCCACCCCAAAGTTAATATTGTTAAAATACTCCTACTATTGAAAGAAAGCTATAGAATTGATGTAATCACTATTAACATCCCAATGACATTTTTTTTTAGAGAAAAAAAATCTTAAAATTCCTAAGAACTACCAAAGGCCCTGAATAGCCAAAATAATCTTGAGCCAAAAAGAACATATATGGAGGTATCACATACTTAATTTCAAAATATCCTGCAGTGCCCATCCTCTTTTTTTTTTTTCAGTGAAGCCACAGAATGAGGGAAATAAATCCATAGAAGTAAGGATAAATGTTAAAGGTGAGAAGGAAACATAGCCTTTAATTCCATGCAATTGGGGCCGGCATTGTGGTGCAGTGAGTTAAGCTGACACTTCTGTCACTGGCATCTCATATAAACTCTACTTCTAGTCTCAGCTGCCTCACTGCTGATCCATGCTCAGGTAATATGCCAGGGAAAAGCAATTGAATATGGCCCCTGCCATCCATAGGAGACTTAGCTGGAGATCCAGGATCCTCAGGATCCTGGATTCAGCATGGCCCTGCCCTAGCCTTTGCAGATGTTATTTATTTATTAATTTTTTTAATGAACAAGTGAATGGAAGATCTCTGTCTTTCTCCCTGCTCCCCTGACTCTGTGTCTGTCTTTCTATAATTCTTCGCCTTTCTGAGCAGTAAAATAAATCTTTAAAAAATTAATTGAATATTATGGAAACCTTTAAGGAGTAGAAAACGAACTTCTTTTTTTTTTACTTTTATTTAATGAATATAAATTTCCAAAGTACAGAATATTGATTACAATGACTTCCCCCCATAACGTCCCTCCAACCCGCAACCCTCCCCTTATTCACTCCCTCTCCCCTTTCATTCATGTCAAGATTCATTTTTGATTCTCTTTATATACAGAAGATCAGTTTAGCATACATTAAGTAAAGATTTCAACAGTTTGCTCCCACACAGAAACATAAAGTGAAAAATACTGTTTGAGTACTAGTTATAGCATTAAATCTCAATGTACAGCACACTAAGGACAAAGATCCTAGATGAGGAGTAAGTGCACAGTGACTCCTGTTGTTGACTTAACAAATTGACACTCTTGTTTATGGCCTCAGTAATCACCCTAGGCTCTTGTCATGAGCTGCCAAGGCTATGGAAGCCCCCTGGGTTCACTGACTCTGATCATTTTTAGACAAGGCCATGGTCAAAGTGGAAGTTCTCTCCTCCCTTCAGAGAAAGGTACCTCCTTCTTTGATGACCTATTCTTTCCACTGGGATCTCACTCGTGGAGATCTTTCATTTAGGTTTTTGTTTTTTGTTTTTTGTTTTTTGTTTTTCCCCAGAGTGTCTTGGCTTTGCATGCCTGAAATACTCTCATGGGCATTTCAGCCGGATCCGCATGCCTTAAGGGCTGATTATGAGGCCAGAGTGCTGTTAGGACATTTGCCATTCTATGGGTCTGCTGTGTATCTCACTTCCCATGTTGGACCATTCTCTCCCTTTTTTATTCTATCAGCTAGTATTTGCAGACACTATTCTTGTTTATGTGATCCCTTTGGTTCTTAGTCCTATCATTACGATTAATTGTGAACAGAAATTGATCACTGGGACTAGTGAGATGGCATTGGTACATGCCACCTCGATGGGATTGAATTGGAATCCCTGGTATGTTTCTAACTCTACTGAGAAAACGAACTTCTAAAAGTAGACGAAAAGACATGTGAGAAACCAGGGGGAAATGTTATTGCTAAAACTGATGAAGTGTTTCAAAAAAGGGAAATATAGTCAGCAGTATGGAGTGCTTCAATATAGAGTATTTGGCTTTAAAATTCCTTTTGCAATTTGACAATAGGGGGTCATTTGTAACCTTTTTGAGACTCATTTCTGTGGAGGCATCACAACAGAGGCAACTGGGTAGTCTAATCTTTCCATGGGTTGAAGAGTGAGCATGCAGATAGATGAGGAAGTGTAAGTAAAATAGCATAATATGTGTAAGGAATGATACCAGAGAAGGTTGAACATGGAAGTTTTAGTACATATAGTGAGATGGATATGTGTGTTACATAATCTTTCACTTCATTATAAAAGTAATACATTTGTATAGGTGTAGGTTTTCCATTGGAATATCTGGAAATTGTCATACTATTTCAATTAGTTCACAGTGCTAGAAAATTTAAAGTACTTCCCCCGTTGTTGTTGCAGCCTCTTCTTATTTCCCTTAAAGAAAATAAGAGATGGAAGGATTAAGGAAAGAGATGGAAGGAGTGGGGAATGAGTGAGGAAAGAAGAACAGAGAAAAATTAAAAAATTATTTTTAAATTATTTATTTATTTGCATAATATTTAAATATATCTGAAAAGAAGATACCTCGTTTATACAAGGGTTGATAGGAGGCCGGCACTGTGGCGCAGTAGGTTAATCCTCTGCCTGTGGCGCCAGCATCCCATATGGGCGCCGGTTCTAATCCCAGTTGCTCCTCTTCCAATACAGCTCTCTGCTATGGCCTGGGAAAGCAGTAAAAGATGGCTCAAGTCCTTGGGCCCCTGAACCAGTCTTCCTGGCTCCTGGCTTTGGATCTGTGCAGCTCCGGCCATTGCGGCCAGTTGGGGAGTGAACCAGCAGATGGAAGACCTTTCTCTTTGTCTCTCCCTCTCACTGTCTGTAACTCTATCTCTTAGATAAATAAATAAAAATTTTTATAAAACATAAAAAAGTAAAAAAGGGTTGATAAACATTTTTTCCAAAGGTCGAGAGAGTAAATATTTCAGGCTTTCAAGGCCATGTAGGATCTGTCAAAATGACTTAACTTTGCTGTTGTATCTTGAAACCAGTCATAGACAATATGTAAATGAATGGGTGTGGCTTTCTTCCAGTGAAACTCCATTTATACACACAAGAATGGGTTAGCTTTATCTGAAATTATCAGTTCACTGATCAGTGCTTTATGTTTCAGAAAGAATAACAAAGTTCTCTCTTATATTCAGATATTTTTTAGTGGATACTTTTATGGTTTATTTGTATAATCAAGGATCTGAGAGTTCTCATTCTTCACATATTCAGGTAAGATGTAAGTTCTGGATTTTAAAGACATTAAAAACCATTTTGTACATTGAATAAGATTCACAATGGATATATTTAAGTCATTTGTTATTAATTTTTCTTGAATTTTTAAAAAATAAAGAAAATCTAGATTTGCTTAGCATTTTTCATAGTTCCTAGATCCGAGATGTTATTTAATAATTCATTTATATATATTTTGTTAAATAAATGAAAATAAGGAATAAGAAAAATGGATAGAAATGGTTTTTGGACATGAATACATATGTCTTTTTTATAATGCTACCTCCCATACTATCTGTTAATAAATCCTACCAACTCTGTCTTTCCACCTATATATCAGAATTCACCCTCTACCTCTGCCTTCATTCACTGATACGAGGTCTGGGATCAAAATTCCCCTATGAGTTCTCCACTAGCTCCTATTTTATATTGTACTCCTCTCCTTGGTACTCTCTGCATTTCCTTTACCTGTTTTATATTTCTCCATGGTATTTATTAATATGTGCTGTATTAACTATTTTATCTACTTTTTGTCTCCCCAGTAAAATATAAATCTATATGAGGGGGAAGTTTTTGATCTGTTTATTTATATAACTACAGTGCCTAGGACATCGCTCAAAATTCACTTGCTTGAAAATTAAAACCTGCTGAAATATTGAACGGGCTACCATGTTTCTTCACTTTTATTGGCCAGGGTTATCATTTTGCATGCTTGCTTTCCTCCCCTTAATTCCATCATAATGTGTTATTAAGAAATCTTATAGTTGTTTACATCAGAATTTATAATGCCATTTGAATCTTGGAAACTATATAATCTGTCCTTTTTTTCTTTGACAATGTTATTTTTGCTTGAATTATCTTATTTGAAAAGCAAAGGGAGAGAGAAGAGAAGAGACATCACTCTTCCATCCCCTGATTCACCCCCCAAATTGCCTCAATAACCAGGGCTGGGCCAGGAGGAAGCCAGGATCCAGGACCTCCATCTGGGCCCCTCCACGTGGGTGGCAGAGGCCCAAACATTCCCTGTTATATTAGCTGGAAGTTGTATCAGAAGTATAGCAGTTGACAGTGGGATGCAGGTGTTTCAAGTGGTGTTATAACCTGCTTCACATGTACATTACCACAGCCCCTGTGACAATGCTTTCTGCCCTGTGTGTCATTAGCTTAATTTTATTTTGGTCAAAAACCAAACTCTGAGATATTTGCCCTTTTAAATTTGTTGAGTCCTGCCAGCACTTCAGGCCAGGGCGTTAACCAGCTGTGCCACAGCGCTGGCCCCAGATATAGTTTTCTACATTTATTAATTAGGTATACAGTTCAAATCTGTATATTTTGAATGCTTGAATTATCAATTATTAGATACAAATCATGTTTACAATATTTTACTGTCCGTATTTTTCTCTAGTGATACTTCTTGCCTCATGGTCTACATTTCCTGTTTTAATGCAGTTTCATAGTCATCCTTTTTGTCTGTGTTGTCACGGTGTATTTAAATCTTTAAATTTTCTGAATCATTGTTTTATACACACACACACACACATGCACACACACACATATATATATATACACACACACATGTAATAGTTTGTAGGGATTTAAAAAATTAAGATTCACAATGTTTATCTTTTAACTGACAAATTTTATTTGTAAAGTATTTTATGTGAAATATGAGATGACACTTTGGAAGCAGCCCATAAAACTGTAATCCAAATCATGATTTATAAATAGTAGTTAATGTAGTAAAAGTGACAAATATATGAAGTCTCTTTCTTCTCAATGTCACTTTACTCATACTGTAGTAAACCAGATATCGTGTGAAAAATGTTCATAAGTTTCATCAAGTATAGTAATAGAAACTCATTAGAAAGTTTTTTCAATTCCCAAATAGCCATTTTCTTTCTTTCCTAGCCTCAGTGCTACTATCAAGGGTATGTTGAAGGATATCCAAATTCCATTGTCACGCTCAGCACATGCTCTGGACTCAGGTTATTTGTTTTTTGTCTTTGATTATGGAACACAATTGTTACGATGTTTGCAGCAAATTTATTGTTTATATTGAATTTGGATCTGGAGGAGGATTCTTATGTCAAGATTATTTAGTGGCATACTCATCTGCTTAACATATTGCTATTTTTCTTATTTCTTTTTACTTTCCCCACTGAGTAGAGACATTTCTGACATCCTATAGACTTCTTATTTTTCCATGCTCACTTATTTTCTTTTTTAGTACAGAAACAGCATCCAGCGATGCTTGACTAGAATGGGAGAAGGTAAATTTAAGATTGGGTGGTTTTCCAGCAAATAGAGAATTTATAAAGCTATGTATTGTAGTGTTTGGAGATGTAAGAGAAACAAGTCATTTTATTTTCTCAAGGAAATTGTCTTTACAGAGAAGAGGCAAATTATATATAAATAAATAACTATAGTACTCATATTTTTGTAATATTACTATTATGATGTCTCCAAGAATTTTTGGCTTTCATCCTCGGTGCTTTGAGAATTTTCTATTCTGTCAGAAAATTATCCACTTTCATTTTGTGATGTCAGAGCCTTGTTTTCATAGATGTTCTATGGTGCTTCATACTTGGAGCTCTGAATTTTGGACAGGAAATTTGTTTTTTAGGGGGAAATGACTTGAACTGTTACCTGTATTCAGGGAAGGAGAGTTGCACAAATTTTTTACTCATTAGAATCTTGCTTTTTTTCTTATTCTTATGCAGCTAACAAAATTAATGTTACTTAATAATACTGCTAAATTTCATTTTTATAAGTAACATTTCTTATGGTACATAGTTTGTTATTAACTAGCATAATAATTTTTCAAAAGCATTGGAAGGAAATCCATCAAGGTTTCCATTTACTGTAGCTTTAATTAAGTCATTGACTTAGAAAAATGGGAATTAATTGATTGCTGTAATTTTGTGTGTGCAACAATTGACTGGGTATTTTCTTGTATACCTAATAATTGATTTAGTAATTGCTGCTGCTTTTATTAATGTGGAAAAAAAGTTTAAATGGAAAGTGAATTTTGTTGTTTAGGGAAACCTTCATCCTTTGGAGTCCTCTCTAAAACAGAGTTTGGACCAAAATACTGGACTAAAAGTATTACAGTATATAGATTGGATTAAAAGCATCTAAAACTGTTTATTTAATTTTACAGAGGAATACTGCAATTTGAAAATGTTTCCTATGGAATCGAGCCTCTGGAATCTACTGTTCAATTTCAGCATATTCTTTACAAATTAGGGAATGACAACAAAGAATTATCAAGTTTTAACAATGATACCAAGAGCTTAGGAAAATACTCAAATGACTACAACATTTATGTAGGTGAAAAAGTGAGTTGTGTGATTTATTACTACTTTCAAAGCAGTTATTGGCTATATTTATTTATAAAAATACATTTATCATGCTATATATATCTGTGGAAAATATCCTTTCCTTAGGAACAATATATCTTTTTTTAACCCCACTCTTTCCTTGAGACCAGACATTAATTTTTCCTCCTTGTAACAGTTTATCACTTACTGCTTATGACAAGCTTTGTTTTGGTTCTTATGTTGTTTATTAACATAATCACTTTCTAAAAATTCCCTAGTAGATTTTAAAACTTAAATAACCCCTGTTCTTACTCTTGTCTCTGTATTCCTGGAATATAATTCAACAGAGGCAATATTTATAGATTGCTTTATGACTAAGGAGTCAGCATTAGCTAAACTAAAATTGTATTTAAAATACCATAAACAGGATTTCTAGGTATGGTCATGTAGATTTTTCAGTGTGCTCACTGTGTAGTTGCCTGTGATGATCCTCATAAAAGCGAAAAACTTCTTGCCAACTAATAATGGCATAAATTTACTTACATTATATGAGTGTATAGCAATGTTAGCTGTTCTCACTGCATATTCTGACCCATCTTTTATCAGTTAAAAAAAAGCCAAACCTTAGAATTTTTCTGGGAATATAAAAAATGCATTTTTCAACTTTCCTCACATGTATTTGGGATCATGTGATGAAGTTATACCTGATGACATATGAGCAGGAATTGTATGAATCACCTCTGGTCTGAATTCTAAAGGCAAACATCTTGTTCTCCATATGTTTTCCCTTTCCTTCTGGCTGCAATGTAGTATATATATATCATAGGCCTCATGGATGAGGATGGCATAAGATGGAATCAACTTTTCTCTTGAAAAATTTGCATAAATGTAACCACTCTATCTCCTTATAAACTCTAATCTTGTTTAAATTGCCATTATTTTCTGGCTCTGTTATAGCCACTAATTCTCTATGTTAAGTAATACAAAACCGAAATGGACTATTAAATGTTTACATATCACCTAAATGTTCAATACTATCACATATATGTACGTAATTTAAAATAAATTTCTGTTAAATATCAGAGATTTTGTTTTTCTTGTAAGATTTTATGAATATAATTTATAAAAGCTTGGTTGGCCTGGCATACTGAACAGTATTGGTGCTCTGCTCAGATGCTCTCAGGTTTCATTCTATTGTGTTTTTGTGTGGGTAGGGTAGGATAATTCAACACAGTTCCTTTGAACAAACAGATCAGCAAAACAGGCATATGCTCCAGAGTTTCTTTGTGAGCCTTCGCCAGAGATTACCCTCTTGTTTTGCTTCCCTTGCTCCTAATCCTTCTTCTCCCATTCCTTAACTAGAGGAATTTCATCAAGACAGTATTCACACAAGAATTCGTCTAAGATCTGTCTTTGCAGAGTGATACAATCCCTTTTTATAGTTTTTATAATGAATTTTTTTCAAATTTGAGCACATGTCGGCCAAATTGAATTTGTGTTGTTTAGAAAGTAACATGATCTACAAAGCAGATTAGGAAGCTCAGGATACCCAGGCACATCACTGTTTGCACAAGTCTTGGACGAAAGAAAAATGACAGAAAAGTGGAAATCTTGTCTTAGATTTACTTGGTTAATGGTTATCTTTGTAGCTTATGGTAACTGTACCCAAACTGATAGAATACACTGCCATCAGGCCAACCTTACAAGACATTTTGGAGTGAGTCTTATATTAGAAGTAAACATGAAAATTACAATAAAATGGAGACATTTCAACCAATACCATTGAAATTCAAGTGATTATGAGATGCAGGTATGAAAATCTACATGCTTATAAACTGGAAAACTTTGAAGAATTGGATGAATTCCTTGATCCATATGACCTACCAAATTAAGAATACAGGGACAAGATAAATAGATCCACAACAAGCAATGCGATTGAGCAGTAATGAAAACTTTTCATTCAAGGAAAAGTCCAGGATCTGGAAACAATTCTATTGTGTTATATAAAACATTTAAAGAGGAACTAACTTTAATCCTTTTCAAACGATTTCAGAATATTGAACACAATGGAACTCTTCCAAACTCTTTATGAAGAACATATTTTCAACAAAACACTAGAAAACCAAATCCAAAGCCACATTAGAAAGATAGTACATCCTAATGAAGTGCGATTTATCACAGAAATGCAAGTATATGAATTAAGCAAGTCTATAGATGTCATAAATCACAACAGAATGAAGAAGAAAAGCCACATGATCATCTCAGTGTATGCAGAGAAAGTATTTGATAAGATTCTATATTCCATCTTGATTCAACAAAAGCAATACACAAAGTAATAGAAAACTTGTGCCTCAAAGTGATAAGGTTAAATATGACAAACCAACAGCCAATACCATACTGAATGGGAAAATCTGAAAGTATTTGCCCTCAGATCTGGAAAAAGACAAGGATTTCCACTTTCCCCACTCTTATTCAATAAACAAATGGAAGAATTGACAAGAGTAATTAGGGAGGAGAAAGAAAGGGAACCAAATGTGGAACAGTGGAAGTTTGCAGATGACATGATGTTTTTCAAAAACCTAAGCTCTCCACCAGAAATCTGTTAGAACTGATAAACCAATTCAGTAAATTTGCCAGGTTATAAAATAAACATGCAAAACAGTAGGTTTTGTACACTAATGGTGAACTCAGTGAAGCAAAATCAAGAACTCCATTCACAATAACCAGAAAAATAAAATACTTTGCAATAAATTTACCAAAGAAATGAATGATTTTTAAAATGGAAATTGTGAAACATTGATGAAATAAATCATCAAGGATACACAAATTAAAGGAAACATATTTATTGTCTATGGTTCAGAAGAATTAATATTAAGATATCTATACTAACTGCAATCTCCAAATTCAATACAATGCTTATCAAAATACCAATGACACTCTACAGAATTAGAAAGAAAATCCTAAAATTATATGTAATTCCAAAGACTCATAATAACCAATGCAATCCTAAGGAAAAAATAATCAAGCTGGGATATCACAATACTTGACATCCAAGCATCTGCTGTGTATTACTATGCAGAGCTATAGTAATTAAAATAGCATGCTAATGACTTAAAAACCACTCATAGATCAATGGAACTGAATGGAGAGCCCAGAAACCAATCCTTTTACATACAACCAAGTGATTTTTCACAAAAGGTCTCACCACATACTTCGGCGTATGAATTAAATCTTCAACAAGTGGTGCTGGCAAATTTGGATTTGTGTATGTAGCAGGATTAATGTAGGGCTCTTACTTTTCACCATATACAAAGATCAACTTAAGATGGGTCAGATACTTAAATTTAAGACCTGGGGCTATGAGGTTGCTAGAAGAAAGCCTAGAGGAAACAGTCCAATCATTGGTGTAAGGGATAGCTTCTTGGACAATACTCCTAAAGCAAGGATACAAAAGCAAAACTTAACAAATGGGATTATGTAAAACACAGAATCTTCACAGCAAAGGAAATGATCAGTAGAGTGTAGGGGGACATCCAATAGAATGGGAAAAATATTTTTGAGTTACTTAGTGACACATGATTAATATCCAGAGCGTATCTGTTACTTTGAAATCAACAGAGCATCCATTCCTGTTAAGGGGCAAAGGAACTAAATAAACAGTTCTCAAAAGAAGAAATATAAATGGCCAACAAATATAAGAGAAAATGCTCAACATCACTACCCACAAGGGAAATGCAAATCAGATGCACAATGAGATATTATCTCATCTCTGCCATAATGCTGAAATCCAAAAGACTGTAACAAGTGCTGGTGAGGGTGTGGAGAAAGTGAAACACTTGTACATTGACTTAAATTAGTGTGGTCATAGTGGAAAACAGTCTGAGGATTTCTTAAAATAACTAGAAACAGACTTGCCATATGATCCAGCAATCTCACTTCTTGGTATATACCACAGAAACATGAACACCACCATGTTTATAGCACCCATGTCCCAGTATCTGAGATAAGGAATCAGTAAAGGTGTGCATCATCAGTTGAATGTATAAAGAAAATATGTTATCCCATACCATATAGGAGTGCCTGAATGTGAGTTCTGGCATTTCTGTTGATTCAAGCTTCCTGCTAATGCATTTCTGGGAGGTAGATGGTTGTTCTTAAAGTACTTCTATTCCTGCTATCCATGTGGCAAGATTGTGTTCTTGATTCCTGGCTTCTGCCTGACCCAGTCCTGGCTGTTATAGGCATTTGAGGAATAAATCAGTGCATAGGAGATTTCCATTTCTCCTTTGCTCTGCTTCAGCCCATGCACTCACCTTTCTTGGCCTTTCAATTGAAACAAATATATTAAAACATTTTAAGTTACAAACCATAATGTAGACATCAAAAACAAAAATCAAGTATTAACCCATAATATATGTGGTCTCTTAAAGCAAAAATAATTTTGAGATAGTTTCCTTAGCTGTAAAATATCCCAAAGGGTGGTTATTCTTCAGATGTTAGACTCATTTGACCTGCCACTGAGAAGGAAAATGAAGGCTCGGGAAGTGATTCATATGTGACAGCAACAATGAATTGCCAAGATAAAAGTCAAATGTACTTCTCCTAAGCCCATTTCATTTTCACCACTCTGCTCCACCTCTTTCAAGTATAGTGTTATCCTAGGAACGCAATTCAAATATTTGCCGAGATGAGCAGGACAGTAGGCATACTAAGAATCTCAACAATAAGGACTGCTGGAACTCAGAAATGTTCATCAGTCTAACACCTTGCAAAGTTCAAGAAAGTCTATGTAAAGAAATGAAAAGGAGGCCGGTGCCGCAGCTCACTAAGCTAATTCTCCACCTGCGGTGCCGGTACTCCGGGTTCTAGTCCTGGTTGGGGCACTGGATTCTGTCCCAGTTGCTCCTCTTCCAGTCCAGCTCTCTGCTGTGGCCCAGGAAGGCAACGGAGGATGGCCCAAGTGCTTGGGCGCCTGTACCTGCATGGGAGACCAGGAGGAAGCACCTGGCTCCTGGCTT